ATTGATCCACCACCCAGTCCTTCCAATTGCATAACTGGTACAGAACTAGTCATTCCCACTGCATTATTCTCATAATTTGCAATAATCATTTTGTAAAATGCTATCCACTAGTTAGCAACTAATCAACCACTAGTGCTGCACTCCATAAATACTAGTGGAATCAACTCATACCAAGAGCTCTATCAACATCATCATATGCTATGCCACCTCCCCAGCCTCCATCTGCGACATTTGCCCCAGCATGTTTCTTCACATGCTTCCTGAGATTGTTTGTAGTCATTTTGGTCTGACTAGTCAGAGACTGATTGAACACCAGTTCCCACCATTTCTCAACCAGTCAAACAAAACTTACTAAATTGGCACAACCCAGGAAACAACAGAAGGCTTCTCCAACAAACAACTTGATTTGCTTCTAATCAAATACCAGTCAGTTACTAGTAACTGCAAATCAAGCTGCTAGAGGAACTCACTGTTACATCAAAATCTGGAAGCACAAGCTCTCCCTTTCCAATCTCCAAGTATTGTCAGTACTGACACTGCATATTATTTAGTATACCAGTGAAGAACCAGTTAGTGACTAGTCAAATACTTACATGCTTTTCTAACATGCTGGTCATTGCAGCAATTCTTATTATTTTGTGTAGTTGGATTATTGGTATTCTACTAGTCACTGATTGTTGGGGAAAGGGTGGTGGGGGTGGTGGGCGCGGGGGGGGGCGGGCGGTCGTTTTGTAAGATGTTGTAAGAGGTTAAGTTTCTACGGAGCTCAACTGACCCTTTGACTAGTCAGCTTTTCTATAGGGTCAGGTGACCTACACTAGCGTAGTTCAGATGAGTCACCCGAGGGGTCAGCCGACGTGTAACCTGGCTGTGCCTGCAGGTGGAAATACCAGTACAGGAAATCGGATACATGTGCATTCTAACTCTAGTATGCGCCATTTTGTTGTCTCATGTCATGAGCGGCCGATGCTAGAGAATAGGGGCCATGGAGTTAAGTTTATGATGCAGCATCCGCTAGAAAAAGCAGTAAGTAGTTGGAAAAGGAAGTGTGATGGGAGGGTTTAAGGTGGGGTTCCCGGTTGGGTTCCCGGTTGGGTTCCCGGTTGGGTTCCCGGTTGGGTTCCCGGTTGGGATCTGCGCTGGTTGCAGCCGATAGGGTGACGGGGAAGTGGACAAAGATGGATGGAGATGGGATTTAAGTGGGTTGGGATCAATTTAGTTGTTCTGAATTAACGCATTGAGACCGGTCACCTCATTCAATTTTATGGAATTTCTATCGTAGGGCTTCGTTCACATATATACCAGTAGTAAATGTTAGGGGGTTGGATTGGTTCGTCCCCTCTACTATCAGCATGGCGCTGGTGGTGATCGAGCTCTTTTGCCCCAGTGGCCTAACAGTATATATGTTTTGATTAATGTTCATTACTACTATGTAAGGTTCAATTCCTAAATTTAAATTTTGTTGGAAGTCTGAGTGGCTGTATTGGCTACCACATATCTAACCTAGTATTGATAATAAAATTCTGGACACTAGAATTTTCTCTGAAGGTAACAACAGATGACTGTGTCTTTATTTGATATTTCAGCAACTATGAAACTGAATATTTGTCCTGGGCAGAAGGACAAGCAAATGATGAGAAAAAAGTTAGTACATGTGGGCGGATAGAAGATGTAATTGGCTGGGCCCCATATTGTGGATTGGTTCCAATTGAGGCGTTGAAACTGGTTTGCACTGATATTATATTTCCTAGCTAGAACACCACAAGTCTATTATAGGATTTTGGTAATATAAAGGATTTTACAGAGCAACAAACTGTCTAGTCCGTCGAGAAAATTTTAAATGACAGGATGTGAATGAAGATGGAAGTGCTAGGAATTAAAGAAAACCGATTTAACAGAAGGAAGAGAATGACAACATTGCATTTGAGATTCTAATATAGGAACAGAAACCAGCAGGCAGCAACAAAGAAAGAATATATTTTGCTAAGTTGTGAGACATGGAAGCATGTGCATCTTTCGAACATCCGGGTTTTCTAGTTACAACCCCAAAACTAGTCTTCAAATTTGAATGACTTACCTGGGCCAATGTCTATGGGCCCTCCCCGGTACGAACCCCGTTTTTTTTTATTTTTCTCTTTTGTGAACCCCTTTCCACGAGTTACTGAGAGGTCCTTGTATGCACGTTCCGCATACGCGTATGGAATATAGGCATTAGAAGGGTGGTCGTGTGGCAGCTGCCCGGCTAGCGCTAAAGGTGTTGGTTGAGTCCCTGAATGTTTAATAGGTGGAGTAGATGCGGCTGGGTTTGAGCCCCGGGCTGAAACGACGTTGGACGTTGAAGTAATGGAGGCGGCTTTCTTGAGGATGGCGGAGGAGGTCGCGGATTTGTTTGATTGGTTGCTTGTCTGTTCCTTTCTCTTCTTCTTGCTCACAGACGAGTCAGATGATGATGAATTGGAAGATGAGTCGGAAGAAGAGTTGCTAGATGAGGAGCTATTTTTAAGTGTTGCACTTGAATCTGCTGAATGTCTGCAGCTCGGACTGTTATCTGTAATGGATGAGCTTGCGGAAAATGGCGAGGATGAGGAGGGCGAAGAGTCACTAAAACCTTTATTGTCAGACCCGGGAAGCGGAATCTGGGCAGCAACTGTAGCTGCTTCTGCCGATTTGGTAACTGGTTTCAGCTTCGACTTGACAGATGCGGATGTCGACGAAGAAGAATTAGAGTCAGAGGAGGAATCGCAATCGAAATCAGAACTAGAACCAGAACCTGTATCAGAGCCTGAAAATGATTCAGATGACGATTCTGAAGTAGAAGATGACTTGGCCAATGAGTTCAGCGTTGGTTTGTCGGTCGTCAGCTTTGTTCGCTTTACCTCGGGATGGGCCTCGTCCGAGTCAGAATCACAAGACGAACTCGAGCTATCGTCATGTTTGCGTTTTAGATTGCTAGGTTGAGTAATTGGTGCCTTCTTGACGTCCTCATCGCTACTTTCACTTTCAGAAGATGAGCACGGGGAAGAAGATAAAGATAAAACTGAACAGGGCGCACGCGCACTCTCCATAACAACATCAGAGTCGCTAGATTCAGAAAAGTTGGAATCGGACTCGGAATCGCTAGTATCACTTTTGTCACTGTCGCCGCATCGCAGTGTGCCCTCTTTCTCCACAGAATGCTGCGCATTGCGATTAAGCTCCCATCTCTCAAAAATCTCAACTAAAAAAGGCGTATTTGTGGTCGCTTTATCATTCGACTTGACTCCCGCCTTCATAATCGATTTCTTCGCCTTCCGCTCAGCAGCGAAAGCCTTGCTGGTCTTGTCGAAGCCGTAGGTGGTAAGGAAGCTGCTAATAGCAGCGATGAGAGCAGGAGATACAACAGCGCTCCCAGAAATAGAAGCGCCTTTCTTATTTCCATTCTACTTGCAAAATGTCTATCAGCCTGTTTGCATGTCTAACGCGAGAAACAGCAGCATGGATTGACTAACCTTGTAAGTGTTTGGCTTCGAGAAAACCGATTTTTTCGCGGAAGGAGTAGGCTTCGCTGTCTCGGATGACTTCTCGACGTCCTTCGAGCGTGCCATCTCGACTACTTTAGTGCCACGACAACAGAGTAGCCTGTTAACATTAAAGAGCAATTCAATTGTTCTCGCAAGGTCAATAGATCGAAGACCAAAAAAAAACAGCAAAATTTAAGTTTGCGGTGAACAAGTGGGACAAGGTCTGACACTAGGCGATATATGGTAACTAGTTAGCCGTGCCAAGCGCACTCACCTGTTACACTGCAATGGAATTCATATCAAAACAGAATTCTTTTGCGGGTCACAGTTGAATGTGGTTTATTAAAAGTTGGATGTGGTTTAAAAAAAGTGGGTCTGAAAAATAAACCATGCTCAGTCCTCACTCCCTTACTAAAATGTACACACACTAAACATATTTTACACACCCTCACTGTATTATTAATCAGCTCTTATTCAGTCCTACTTCAATATCTGAGACTCTTCAACATCTGAAAAGCAGTTATGAGTTAGAATTAGTGATATAGAGTTAGAATCCAGGTTTTCTAAGAAATAGAGCTCTGAGAAATATGATAAAATCACTGTGTCTGATGCATTTGAAGATGTGTGAGATATGTATGAGATGACTAGTGTATGTAGTTTTAATGGGGGGTTGACATGGTTTATGGTCAAAACCACACTGAAGGTTATTCCGGCCCGAAAAATTAACCATGTTCAACTTTTTATTAACCACATTCAACTGTACACCCTTATTCCGGCCCAAAAAATTAACCATGTTCAACTGTATGCCCATTATTTTGAATATTGTGATCTTCAAAAATTAATTGATAATCACTGCTGTAATGGGGATCCGGCACGGGTAAAAATTTCACCGAGTATTCCCCTACATATATCTATCTCGCTGTTGCTAGATAGATCTTTCCTTACAATTTACATGTACGACGAACAACCTAGATATCATTCGCGGATCTCATTCATTTAAGCAGGTCAGTAAATAGATAGGCAGGTAGGCAGGCAGGTAGTCAGCTAGTAAGCTGGCATTGATTGGTAGATGGGTAACTGAATGGTGAAGTTTATTCTCATAGAGATTGATTGGATATTGAACAGGTTCCAGGAGCTTTGTATGATTCTTAGAGACTTCGCTTCGCTCTGTCTAATAACCAGCAGCCGGCTCAACCTTCCAAGAGCCGGTGAATCATTCTGATATAATCTGACCCATACATTCTACTGCCTCAATATTTGATCCTTCTATCTGAATATGTTCTGATATAACACTATGTTACCTTATATAGCTTGATCCTCGTAGAGTCCTAAGAACATCCCCTAGATAAGCAGCGAGACCCTTGACCCACCGCTTACAGAACCCCCTTCACACAATCTTTTCTTCTGGTTTCTTTTCCTTTTTCCTTCTTAATCAATTCGTAATTTATAAGTAGGATAATGCCCAGTCCATTAATCGGTAGTACGCCCGTTACAATGGCTGACTAGAAATGACTTGATGCAATGATATTCAAGGCTTGAAAAATGAAAACCTGTGCTACTTTCCATTCGCTAATTGAACATCCTCCATCTGCCTCATAAATGTCAAACTGCTTTCTTCCTCATCTATGTCAACAGCCATTTCAACCGTGGTTCTCGGACGGTTCTTGTTCAGTCCCTCAAGCAACATGCAAGCTTTGCAGATCCTCTGACTGGCCATATAACCACATCTCTCGCATTGGCCCATCGTTTGAAGTTTCATCCGCGGTTGACCCGAACCTGTACTGCCTTGAAGCTTCCTATACGGCAAAATCTCCGTTTCATCAACATTGGCAATCTGATTTCCCGCCAGTTCTTTTTCCATCTCTGCCATTTCTCCAACATTTATCCCTCCCCGTTGGCTACCGCACCCGCCAGCCGCATAGCGCTCTGTCCCTCCCCGCATGGTCACGGCAAATGTACGGGTGAGCAATTTGCCAGACCTACTCATTTCCAGAGGTACCAGCCTCGCCATGTCTTCCCCGCTCCTGACTATATCCAATATAGAGCTCGGGCGCACTTTCTCGAGATCCTTTATCAGTGTCCTCGCACTCCCTCGAAAAGCCTCCGGTGAATAGATGCATTCAGTGCTAAAATAACACAATTTCTTATAGTGGGCATACAGGACTATTTCCTTTTCATACGCATACTTGAGCGGTTTGCTCCGTTTGATATCACTTGCCGACGACTCTGTCACAATATTCGTCGAACGCGCTAGTCGAGGAAGATCACCTCGTAACAGATTCATCACAATCGTCTCGGCAACATCGTCCGCGTTATGTCCAGTGACAACATGTCCAATGCCTAACTTGGCAGCACCCCGGTCAAGCGCCTGTCGTCTGAACACTCCGCAGTAAGTGCAATTCCCCTTTGTTCCAATCTCCGCAACCACCTGGTCCATCGTCCAGCCGTATAGCTCACCATATCCCACTATTTCTAGCGGCATGCAATATTGCATTGCATTTCGCTTAACTGTTTCCAGACTATCATCACGGTATCCCTTAATTCCCTCATCGATGGAGAGAAGCATAAGTTCCAGGCCATAGCCGTGGCGTTCATTCAGCGTTTTGAGAACTGAGGCGAGGACGGTGCTGTCCTTACCACCACTGGCACCGATCGCGACGCGTTCGCCCTGGTTAAAAAGCGCATTCGTGGTTATAGTATCATGAATTTCAGTTTCAAAAATTTCGACAAAGCATGCTTTGCAGAGCTTGTGTCTGTTTTTGGGGCGTATAATAAGGGCACGAGCGGATTTGCACCGGTAGCATAGGGTGGGGGCCATCATAGACGGATGCATGAGTCGATGGGAGTGAAAACTGGCAGAGGTCATGAAAATAGATGGAGCCCGGACTTCCTATTAAGGACTAGTGCCCCACGTCCCAACTAACATAATCCACCACTTACCTCAGTAAAATCTACTCGATCTTGATTGCAAGCTTTGGAAATGAGAAATCAGAACTGAGATAAAATCTCTTCTCCAATATATAATTGAAAAACGAGTTTTCCGTATTTTATGAGCAGTAACGTGGCCTATTAACTATATGCGGCTAAGCTTTGCATCCTCTAATCAGCTAACTTCACCTTGCTTCGTTCTGAAGCAGCTCAATATTTCAGCCTTCTGCTATTGGTATTTTGTGCTATTTAGTTACAGATATATTATCAGCTATTTGAAAGTGCGTTTATATCTTGTGTATAATAATTCATTTGCCCCTGAATTTGGAGGCGCGTTTGGCCACCTTTTTTTGAAAGTGTTAGCAGCAGGCTGCCACTAGTTCTTATAGCAGAGACCTTATAGATGTTGAACATTGATAGTCACTGAGTGATGAATTGCATTAATTCAAAATCAAGTAATTAAAAAATTCGTTTAAGTTTATATATTGTATATAAGTTAGTATATTTTTATCAATAGTACAGATGCTTCTGTGAAAAGTTTTGACTTCTCATACTACTAGTAGAAATTTAAGGTTTCTGAAGATAGATTCATATGTCTTTTTATTCAATTAAAAACTAAACCATTACTATTATGTATGATTGAGGCTTTCAAGAATTTTCTTTTCAACTTCATACTCACAGTTAGAGTCAGCATTTCAAAAAGCCATGATTTGAAAAGAAATCCACAATGTGATAGGTTAGTATCTGTTGATAGTTAACTTACACAATCAATCCTCTACCACACACTTATATACTCATATATACTCATAAAGTTCTCTCACATCTTCTTATAATTTCATCTTATAATTATATATATTTTAATACTCTAATAATTCTTTCACTCTGTGCTTCTTCAGAGTATAATCTTCAATATTTCTTTCACTTTAATTCTTTTATCTATAAAAATCTTTTTTATACAATCTCTTTTTCTAATCTTCTTTCTCTTTCTTTTTTTAATTAATTTATAAACTATTATCAGAATAGTGTCAAGTTTGTTGATAGTATTATTGAAATGAATTATATAAACTGTGTGAATAATATAAATGATTTAATCTACAACATCAGTAATATCTGTTTAATTAATAATATATTTATTATATTACAAATTAATTCATCTGTATTTAAAACTTAAATATCTAGTTATTAGTTTCTATATCTGAGTGTATTAATTATATTTAAAACTTAAATATCTTATTATCAGTTTCTATACTCAAGTATATTGATTATATTAAAAGATCTGAATATCTAGTCATTATATAAATTTTTTATTGAATTTAAATACTTTTATTATTAAATATATAGATTATTATATCTAAATATTTATAATACAATCAACTGTCTTATAAAGAGATTCAAATATTTATAAACTATAACACTGTAAATAGTATTTATAAAAAAGCTTAATAAACTTAGTACTGTAATACTGTAAATAATATTTATAAAAGTCTGAATATCTACAAGTATTTCATTTTCTAGAATTATATATTTTTAAATATTAAAATAAGTTATCAACAGATTTACAAATATCTGCTGTATTTGAATATAATAAATAATAATCTAGATTTATAAAATATTCTTCAGCAGTAAATACTGTAGATAACTGAGCTATAATAATAATTTACTGAAATAAATATATTTATATTTACTATTCTCTCTATACTTATATTTTACAAAAAGTCTTTGAAAAAGAAATTTTTAATTTTTAATAAGTATATAGAAAATCTAGTATTATATTTTATATAAAAATTAAAAATAAATATTAAGTTGAATATTGATAACTAAGTAATAGATTTATTATTAAATCAAATATAGTATATTCACAGTAGATTAGATGATAATATATTAGTAAAATTTCAACTCTGAATAAATTACTACTTAGATAATTAGTATATATCAGAGTTAGTTTTTCAATAATTTAATATTTTTTTTAATTCTATATTTCAGATTAAAATATTAGACTGACTAAATAAAATTTATCAGAAAAACACTGTATTAATAATCTATTTATTTGAATTTAATTATAAACTTTTAGAAGTAGATAAATAGAACTGAAATAATATTATTAAAATTAATATACTATTCAAAAATTTGAACTTTTAATTATATAACTGAAGTATAAAATATTTAAGATTTTTAATATATAGTAAATACTGCACAGATTTTTATTTATTTAATAATAATCTGTTATAATTTTATATATTTCAAAGTTATAAAGAATTCTACTGAGTAAATATATATATTTTAAATTATTCTACAGCAATTCTCACATCTGAATCAGAATCAATAAACTGAATCTCTTATATAAATATCAAATACTCAAAAATTTTCAATATCTTAGATAAAAATACTGTTAATTAAATTACTAGAGAAGTCTGTATATACTGCAATAAATCAGAGCACTTTATAAATCAGTATTCAAATACAGTTCTTTTAAGTTGATTTCTTATATATATAAACACTGTATCATTTATAGATAGATAAAAACAGAGAAAAAAAAAGTTTTTACTCTAAAATATAGATAAAAACTTAAGAAGTAATAAATCAGCTGAAGATTTAAGTAGAAAATATAAGCAGATATAATTATAATCTCTATTATTATAAATAGTCTAGTCAATATATATATAATAATAGACAGTGATTTTCTTTATTATACTTTTATAAATACTCAGCTGATAGAGAAGTATAAACTTCAGTATATTTCTTTTCTCAAACTATATAAATTAAATAAATTTAATAACTTTAGAAAATTCAT